TCTCAAACTACTAAGCTCAAGCGATCCTCCACCTCGGCCTTCCAGAGTGCTAGGATTACAGGCGTGAGGCACCGTGCCTGGCCTATGTTTGGTTTTTCATCTTCCAATCGAACACTCTATCTAAACCTCTCTTGAAACCCACATTCAGTTTTGCTCTTTTTTTTTTTTTTTTTTTAAGACAGGGTCTTGCTCTGTTGTCTGGGCTAGAGTGCAATAACATTATAGCTCACTTCAACCTTAAACTCCGGGGCTCAAGGGATCCTCCTGCTTTAGTTTCCCAAGTAGCTGGGACTACAGGTGTGCATCATCATGCCCAGCTAATTTTTCTTATTTTTTATAGAGAAGAGGGCTTGCTATGTTGCTCAGGAGGGTCTTGAACTCCTGGCCTTGAGTGAACCTCCCACCTTGGCCTCCTGAAGTGCCAAGGTTATAGGTTTGACCACTGAACCTAGCCTGCTCATTGATTCTTCTCTGTCCTTCCCTCCTCCACACTGCTATGGAAATAGTTCCAGGTGACAACAGTTCCTCTGTAGCAGCACATGGGGTCTTGCCAGAGAGAACAGCAGATCAAGTATCTATGGAAGGGGATGCCTACACTTGGGCAGGTGACATTACATATCACCATCAACAAACACTTATCATGCTTATGGGCTCTGTGACTACGAAGAGGACTAAGATCTTGTTCTGGACTTCAAGTAACTTTCAACCTTGAGAGAGAGAGAGGTGGAAAAATAAAAAGATACACAACATAACAAGGCACACCATTCTATTATATAAATACTAATTGTGCAGTACATAAAACAGTGCTAAAGATAGAGCCTTACATTCTAGATTTTCCAGAACAATTCTTATTTCAAATATCCCATCCCACCAATTCCTTCACTACATCTGTATGCTCCGACCCTGGCATGTGTTTGGCATAAAAAATATGATCATCACAGTTACTTGTGAGGCAAGCCAGCCCACTAGATTAACTAAAATCAGGATGGCATCATGACACCAGATTGTTTGAATCATACTAGCACCTTCTTATAGCCCTAGTACAGCGCTTTAATAGTAGCCCCTCAAGTAATTGTGGGATTGAATACAAGACGCGGTGAAACCAGAGTCTTCTAAGAAAGTTCATCAGGAGAAAGGCAAGGGAGCTGAGAGTATTTAGAAAAAGTCAGGCATGCTGGGTATGAGACGCCAGTCTCTATTATGCCATTCTTCCCCACGGCCCTTATAAAGTTACTGAGAACTATGACAATAATTAGGCCTCCGATACTCCTGGGAAGGAAACAAATCTATTCATGTGATGAAAATTAATTTTTCCCCCACTTGGTTGGCCTCTGGCATACAACTGACAGCACAGCTATCACCATACAACAATCGCGTCTTTCTTCTTCTGCTGTCCCCTACCTCATGTATCCTGTTCACTTACCCCCCTATCTTTCTTGCCAATCCATTTCCTCCTCTCTCCAGCTTGTGCTTTAGACAAGAGGATCCCAAACAAGAATCACCCGGGAAACTCTAAAATCACAAAGTCCCAGTCCCAGTCCCCAACTTACTAAAAGGTTTGGAAAAAGAAAGGTTTGGAAACCCCTGTCTTAGATGATTAAGCAGCATTCAAAGGCATCCATGAAACTTAAAAAGACCTTTTTGCACCCTTCCTTTTGCTCTCCCTTTGCTGCAGCAATGGGTCTGGTCATCATCTGTGGCATATGTATCACACTCTGTAAACCTCTATCTTGCTTTTGCTCTACAATCCTATCTTTCGATCTTCAATAAACCTCATTTTCATGTTGGCCTTAAAAAGAAAAAAAGAAACTTAAAAAGAAAACCTCTGATGATCTTAACTGCCTTCATTGGTGGACTTCTTTTTTCTTTTTGGTAGAGACAGAGTCTCCTTATGTTGCCCAGGCTGGTCATGAACTTCTAGGCTTAAGTGATTCCCCTGCCTCAGACTCCCAAAGTGCTGGGATTACAGGCGTGAGCCACCATGCCCGGCCTATCAGTTGACTTAAAATGTGTAGTACAACGAAAGACAACATCTTATGATAAATAAGTGGAGTCCATAAGGAAAAGTAAAATACATAGTGACAACATTGGAGAGCAACTCAGTGGTCACCAAAGTGAAATTTCTTCCAGTATAAAAGACCTCTCTCTATAGGCTGGTCCGATGGTAGTAGGCTATCAGAACTTACTAACATTAGTGTCACTAAAGTTGGTATTCAACCCCCCACTGCTAAATTTGACTGGCTTTAAAAAAAAAAAAAAAAGACCTCTATATAAGCAGTTATATTAACTATTTCAATTAAAGATTCACTTCCCCCACCCCAACCCTTGTTGTTCACAGAATTAACTGGTAATGGCAGTGTTTCTCAACGGTACAAAAATATCCTGAGAAATCATTCAGATAACAACAAAAGACAGAGCTTTCATCATGTCTTTGCAAACACAAACCAAGTAGATATAATAGACTTAAAAAGCAGATAATCTTCACTGTGCTGTAAACAAAAAAGATGTGATCCAGACCTCTTAATTCTCCCATCAGTTATCAGAAAAAAAGACTGCGTTAAATGTCTATTTATAACTTCTTAATTAACTATGGCCAGTAATATAAAGAAGTAATTTATAGTTCCAGTTTTTCATCTCCTTTCTCTCCAAGGAGGTACAATTCTGAATTCTAAATAAATACCCCATTTTACAATTCCAATTTTCAAAAAAATTTTTCCCCTGGAGGAGTGATAATTCCAGTAAATTTTGGTGCAATCCTGATGCAAAGCCCAACTGTCCTATGAAGATAATCAGCTATTAAAAGGAAACCCCCCAAAAATGAAGGCAGCCGTGGCTGTCCAGTTTTGCAAGTTTTCAACAGACTTGATGAGGGGTGAGCTAAAGGCAATGAACACTTTACTTTTTGTAACTCATCTCGTTGGCACTGTCATTTCTAGAGTGTCTCATATTCTTGACTCTGGCACCTCAACAGTATCCCAACTTACGGGAAAGGAAAAAAGCAAAGGAAAAAAGGAAATCAAGTCAGACAATGAAGGAATCACAGGATTTCCCTCTTCATATCTCCAGATACATGAGGTCATTCAGTGGGCGTGGGAGTTCCCAATGCCCCACAAACTCCCACACCCTCACCAGTGTTCTGACCTAGGTACTGTATTTGAAAACGTTTTCCAATTTCACCAAGTTAACTTATAAATACCCTATTAAACTGTGAATTCCTGGCAAGCAGATTGTGTCTTCAGATATTTCTTTTTTTTTTTTGAGACAGAGTCTCGCTTTTGTTGCCCGGGCTAGAGTGAGTGCCGTG